TGATGTGTTTCTCTCTCATATCAATGTCTCTCTCTCTCTCTCTTACCCCTTCCTCTAAAAATCAGTATTTAAAAATTTTTTTGAAGAATCAGGAAAGGGGAGGTGCTGGATTGAAATGAGAGGTACTTAATATACGTACAGATGGACAGATCTAGAAACAAATGCAGATGTATGTGTGCATTGGTTAGCATACAGACAGATACAGGGTGTCCCCCAAAAATGTATACATACTTTAATAGCTGATAGTTCAACTTCAAAAATGAAATGTATTGTAATAAACACTGCCTTTATAATTATTCAAAGGGTGTGTATACATTTTTGGGATACCCTATATTTCCTGTCTGCTGAGAGGGCCTACAATCAATGACATCGCAGTAGCAATGAGAATACCTAGTGCCCTGATCCCGATACCTAAATACCATTTGTCAATAAAATGAACTCATTGGAGCAGTGGCTGAGTCTAGGCCTGAAACTGGAAAATGACCAAATTAGCCAGGAGTATCTTGTAGTAGAGAAAGTAGGGAGTTTTCAACAATGATGGAGAACATAAGGCACTTTGGAAAAGCTCCTAATGGACAAATCTGTGACAATTTGAGCAAGAAAATAGTGATAGTAATGGATTATATCACCCAAGATAAAATACATACCCAGGAGTCCATACTAACATAAATTATTGAATCAGTTAATAAATGGGGGAGAAGGAACAGTTCTTCTTTACATAATTACAATAAAAATGTAGAGCCCTGGCCGGTTTTCTCATTGGTTAGAGCAGCGGCCTGCAGACTGAGGGGCACAGGTTCAATTCCAGTCAAGGGCACCGTACCTCGGCTGCAGGTTCAATCCCAGCCCCCCTCGGGCACATGCGAAAGGCAATCAATGTGTCTCTTTCACATGGACGTTTCTCTCTCTCTCTCTCTCCCCTCCCCCCTTTCCTCCTAATCCTCCCTCCCATCTACTCTCTCTAAAAACAAAACAAAAAAAGTAAATGGAAAAATATTCTCGGATGAGGATTTTTTAAAAAAGTAAAAGGCATGATGGAAATGGGCAAATACCACAGAAATAAGTTTTGCAGGTCAGAATCACTGATAGATATTTGCACAGTCTCAAAGTATTCCCCCATAAGATGCTTAATCATTTCAAAAAAAGCAGATACCACCTTACCCAGCTGATCAAGGTAAACATGACTAGTGATGAGACATATCAACATCATGAACCTTCTCATATGATGCACTAAGAAGGGTTCAATCTCACTTTTGCAGCATCTTTGCTAAAACTTTTAGAAACTCTGCCTGTCTGTTTAGTGGTTGAGTATCAACCTATGAACCAGGAGGTAATGGTTCAATTCCTGGTCAGAGCACATGCCCGGGGTTGTGGGCTCAATCCCCAGTAGGGGGCGTGCAGGAAGCAGCCAATCAATGATTCTCTCTCATTGATGTTTCTATCTCTCGCTCCGACTCCCTTCCTCTTTGAAATCAATAAAAATATATTTTTAAAAGTTTTTTAGAAACTCAATCTAACCACGAGAAAACATTTTTTTAAAAAAACTGAAACAGCGTGGATGGACCTGGACAGCATTATGCTAAGAGAAATAAACCAGTTGGAGAAAGATAAATATCACATCATCTCACTCATTTGTGGAATATAATGAACAACATAAACTGATGAACAAAAATAGATCCAGAGGCATAGAAGCATCTAACAGACCGTCCAACCTCAGAGGGAAGGTAAAGGAGGCTGGGAGCAGGGGAAGTAAGAGATCAACCAAAGGACTTGTATTACATGCATATAATCATAGCCAATGGACACAGACACTAGGTGGGTGAGGGCATGTGCTGGGGGTTGGAGGTGGCTGAGGAGAGGTCAATGGGAGTACATATGTAATACTTTTAATAAAGAATTTAAATTAAAAAATAAAATAAAAATTGAGTGACAATCCACAAAATAACGAACCAGTACGCTTCTTAAATGTCAAGGTCTTAAAAGATGTGGAAAGACTGAAGAACTGTCTCATCAGACTAAGGAGACTAGAGACATGACAACCAGATACAAGTGGGATCCTCGATCAGATCCTCGCACAGAGAAAGGAAATTAGTGGGAACACTAGCAACATTCAAATAAGATCTGTAGATTTTCTAAAAATAGTATTTTTATCCGTGTTAATTTTCTGGTTTTAATCACTGAACCACTGGTTTGTATGGTTAACATTATGGGAACCCAGGTAAGGCATATACACAACTCTGCACTATGTTTACATCTTGTCTGAACTGTAAAATTATTTCAAAATAAAATTTTTAAATAAATCTGTGATTTAGATGACCTCTGTGGGCCCCAAGCAGTCTAGATCAGCATCTCCAGCTACCTCCACACAAGGTGCTGAGCTGCACCCTGTACCACCCTTCATAAAGGCAACCAAATGCTAACAGCTTATAACTGGAGCAGGGGGCTCACATGTGATGCCTTCTTTCTACTTCTGTTATCTGAATTATTTTATTTTTTTAATCCTCACCCGAGGATATTTTTCCACTGATTTTCAGAGAGAGCAGAAGAGAGAGGTAAAGAGAGAGAGAAAAATCGATATGAGAGAAACACATCGATTGGTTGTCTCCTGCATGAGCCCTGACTAGGGCCTGGGCCAGGGAGGAGCCTGCAACTGAGGTATGTGCCCTTGACTGGAATTGAACCCAGGACCCTTCAATCCGCAGGATGGCACTCTATCCACTGAGCCAAACCAGCCAGGGCTGTTATCTGAAGTCTCTACAATGTGCACATATTATACATGATGAGAAAATTGTGGGGTGGGAGAAGCAGTGAACTATACCAAATGTATGTATTTATAAAAATTATGTCCTCTTATAAGGAAATAACATTTCATACTCATCACAATAGAAATAATTTCTTGTCAATTACTAAATAAAATGCTGTCTAAATAAAACACTAAAGTAATTACTGAAGTAATTAAAAGAAGAAACAGTCCTGCTAACTTCTGATCTAAGCCAGACCTTGAAAGATTAAGAAAATTTCTTATTGTGTGAATGACATTGTTTTCTTTGGTGTTTATTCTGTTTTATTAAAATAAGATTTTTAAACAATGGTAAACTATTTTTAAAATACAATTTTTTCACTTACTTTTTCATTTTTTATAGTTACATAAAGATAAACCTCAAAAGTATCATCTTCTACAGCACATAATTTGGCTTCCACCTGGGTAGTTGCTAAGTGGCATAAATGAAAACATCAATTAGCTGATATCAAAAGTATATTTGAAACAACCGGACTATTTCCCACCTATTAATCTCTGCTAACCACTTCTGATTACCCAGCACCACAGGCCCGACGGCTTCTCCCTGCAGGTGGGTCTGAATGCAGGAAGGTCTGCAGGTGGGCAAGTGGAGGGGAGGCTCTCCTGGCAGGCAGGCAGCCTGTGTCCTCTGTCCCCATCCACCTTCCAAACGCCCACAGAGCAGAGCTCTTGACCCTCTCAGAGACTTCCTAACCCAGCAGCTCCATGTATGGGCACCTAGTGGACACCATGCTAAGTCCTTTACAAACGTTTTTCCTTTCACTCTTACCATAACCTTTGAGAGTCACTATACAACTGAAGAGAGCAGGCTCAGCGAAGGCTCCACAGCAGAAACAGGGCAGTGTTCAAACCTAGGCACTCGGCCTCTTCCAAACTCTGTCTCCCAGCATTCCCCACTAGGCTCACAGGGACCAAAACTCCAAAACCAGCGACCCTCACCCCAACCTCCGATTTCTCACAGCATCTGGCTGTTTCTTTAACAGAGGGGTGGGGAAGATCTGGCACGAGGGCCATATAAGGCCCATGAAATCACGTGGTCTGGGCCTGCCAATGCATTAGGGGTGAGTTAATTAAATGTTTGACCAAATATAGCAGCTAGTTTTTAAGCTGATAACTGTGTATGGCCCGAGAATGATGTCAAATGGCCTTTGGCAGAAAAAAGGTTCCACACCCTGCTTTAACCGGACAGTGGGGCAGCAGAGGAGAGGGCCAGGACCTCAACAGGCGCAGGCAGCACCAAGAGCTCACACCCACTACTGCTCAAAACAGCCCTTGGAGGCGGGCAGTCACGTGGCTCTTGACTGCCCGGGGTTTGGACAGCTGCCACAGGTGAGTCTCCGTATTACATTGCTACACTCCCCAATACGAAGAGAACACACTGCGTAGGTGCTCTGAGACAGTCTATACCTCTTAAATTAGCAATAATGATTACACAACAACTTGGGCTTTTAATCAATTGCTGGTTCAGTAAAATGCATGTAAATTTATTTTGCAGTGCTTCAGCTTCTATGCAAACTAAGAGGCAGGCATTGTTCCTGTGTAAGCATCTCTTACCCATACAGCCTCTTTCTAACCTCACCTCTCAATTACTGATGTCCACATTCACCCCCCAAAAATTCCAGGACTGCAGCGTCACTGTGCCATTGGGGTAGAAGAAGCTCCAGATAACTTATGAGCCCATATGAGGAGGGCCAAACAGCTAAGCATGCACATCTCACCACCACCACCACCACCCCCAACAACTGAAGGTTAAACCACCTTGGGTGTCAGTTCAACACGGGCTGCGGTGATGGCACACTTGCCTTACCTTTCAGGATGTTCTGAAAGTACTGAATAGCTGCAGTGTCCCACTTCTTGGCGGGTCTGGAACGGTGAACAGATGCAACGTCATTAAATAGAAATCTGAGGTTAGTACACCAACAGCATTTTGTAACACTCACTGGGTATTTCCGACATTACGTATTGGCATATGATGCAGGTAATGGGGACGGCCCCAGCTGCACCTGCAACGGGCTCCTCTCACCGCTGCGGCCTGCACCCGGGCAGAGACTCTTTGAGAACGGGCCTGCCATCGTCTGTCCCAACACCGCTGCCCCCAGTTACCTGGGACATAGCTGCCTCCCCAACAGAACACAAGCTCGCTGGGGCAGGAATCCTGAGTGTGCAGTGTTCAGCACAGGCTGGCACACAGCAAGGCCTCCAAACATGTTGGTCAAACCAACATTCTGAGAGTGGCCACTGTTGTCTCATGCTACTCCTCACTCAGCCGACACCCTCTCACTGTCGCCCATTTTCTATCATCTTGCCTTTTCCTATGCTTTGGAAGGAAAATCGCAAGACTTCTGGTCAAGATGGTGGCGTAGGTAAACAGTACTCACCTCCTCCCACAACTACATCAAAATTACTAAACGACAGAACAACCATCATTCAGAACCAACTGAAATCTCACTGAAACAGAAGTCCTACAAGTAAGGACATAAAGAATAAGCCACATCGAGATTGGTATGAGGGACAAGACTAGTAGGAGAGGTGGGCCCAGGGAAGTGAATGGCACCACACCCAGGTGTGGCACATAAAAATCGGTAAGGGGGAATGAGGGGATGGGGGGAAAAGGTGAAGGGATTAAGAAGTACAAACTGGCCCAGTCTGGCATGGCTCAATGGTTGAGCATCAACTTACGAACCAGGAGGTCACAGTTTGATTCTCAGTCAGGGCACATGTCAAGGTTGTGTGCTGTGGGCTCAATCCCCAGGGCGGGGCATGCAGGAGGGAGCTGATCAATGATTCTCATCATTGATGTTTCTATCTCTCTCTCCCTCTCTGAAATCATTAAAAATATTTTTTAACAAAAAAATAATATTAAAAAAAAGAAGTACAAATTGGTTGTTACAGAACAGTCACAGGAATGTGAAGTACAGCACAGGGAATATAGTCAATAATATTGTAATAACTAAATATGGTGTCGGATGGGTGCAAGATTTATTGAGATGATCACTTAATCTAATCACGGTGATGTACGCCTGAAACTAATACAATATATACTAACTGTAATTGAAAATAAAAAATTTAATAAAAAAAAAGAAAATTGCAGGAAAAGCTGTAGGCAGAGAAAGATCAGGAGAAACCAGTATTTGGAAGCAAGGAACAAAAATAAAATAAGGTTGGAGTGAAATTGTTTTGTTTCTCCACTGGTTTTATTTATCAGAGATGCCACCACCATCCTCCCAGGGTTGCTTTAAAGAACAAATAAGGTAATGTACATAAGCACATAGCCCAGTGCCTGGACTAAAAATATTATTTTTCTTTTTACTAAGAAAGACATTAAGCATATTACTTCAAGAGCATTGCAAAGGGTTTCTAAAGGAAGGCTAAATAAATAAAAGACAGTGGTTCTAGATGTGCTTCCCTCCCAGGAGCCTGTGCCGTTCCCTTTCCACACTCATTCCCTACAGCACGCATCCTCTAGACTCTAAGAGCCCGTCCCCACGAGGCTTGCAACCAGGGAGCAATGGGCCACAGCATCTTGTCCTGGGCTAACCCCCTGACCCTGTCCCCAAGACTCCCTTTCTAAAATTAAAAAAAAGAATTGATGTTTCTCTCTCTTCCCCTCTCCTTTCCACTCTGAAATCAATAAAAAATGTATTTAAAAATATATCATTGTCACCCAGCCATCAAGCAAAAATGAAAAATCCTGATGATATCCAGTGTCATGTGGGGAAAACAGCACTTTCTATACCCAATTACAGAAATACAAATCGCTGGTCCTTTTGAAGGGAAATTTGATAAAATCTATAAAAACTGCGATATGCATATTGAGACACATTCTAGACCAGGGGTCTTCAAACTTTTTAAACAGGGGGCCAGTTCACTGTCCCTCAGACCGTTGGAGGGCCGGACTATAGTTTAAAAAAAACTATGAACAAATTCCTATGCACACAGCGGCGGCAAAAACACCCGGCGGGCCGGATAAATGTTTTCGGCGGGCCGCATGTGGCCCGCGGGCCGTAGTTTGAGGACCCCTGTTCTAGATGAAGGGTATTTGTCAAAGAAGGTAATCCAAACCCAGTAAGATCAGTTACTTAAAGCCTTCGCCTACACTGAGGGTATCCTCGGGCTGGGTGTGTCCGAGGCTGGGAGGGTCCCCGAGCAGCCCAGTATGCTGGGAGAGGGGTAATGCTGAGGGGGGAGCAGACTGCCTCTGAGGGAGAGCGGAGCACGGACAGGCAGGCACCCAAGTCACCCAGGAGGGTGAGCGGCTACTGATCTGAAAGGACAGGGGAGGAGACTGGGGTTGCTTGGGCAGCTTGGCAGGGTGCAATGGCCTCAGCAGAGACAAGCTGGCTTGGTATCTTCTTAGTGCAGCTTCCAAGGCCAGCACAAGAGTGATGCATTCACCATTCCAAGGGAACTGTCGGTGACGGGAGTTGGAGGAACTGAGATGGGAGGGTCTCCATAGACTCCACGAAAGTTGTGCTGTTTCTGTAGCTTTTCTTCCCACAATGCCACAGTTCTGGAGGAAGGGGGAGAAGGAGCCCCAGGTGGGAGGATGGACCTCAGGTAGTCTTGTTCGAGACTGCAAAGATCACAGCCACACCCCCAACACAGTACTGCCCCATGCAGGGACCTGTCCTCTACAAACACTGGCAATGGGGCCAAATACTAGGGAGAAAAGGCAAAGATGGGGTGCATGTGTGTGACGTGTGTGCTATGTGTGTACCTCTCTACATCTATATGTCTTATACGACATATCTACATTTTGATGAAAATGTACAGTGCAAAATGGTTTGGAAACAATCTAGCTGGGTATCAAAAGAGGAATGGTTAAATACAACAAGTATGCCTTATATTTACCCATGAAAAAGACTGAAAGTAGAAGAGGGTACAAAGAGTTTCAACATACATTAAGTTAAATTTGCAAATAAGACAGTAATACAACCCGAGCATGCGACTAACCGGGACTCGAACCGTGACCTCCTATTCATAGGCTGACCTCAACCACTGGGACACACAGGCCAGGCAGTCATTACTTTCTGTAAGTGGGGGGGAAGGGAAGCCAAAAAGCAGAGTTCAGACCCTATTCTAACTCCTTCAATTGCAGCTGCTGTAGGTGGAGCTGCCCTGGGAATTCTGCTCATGACCAGGTTTGACACATACGGACTCAGAAAATACCTCCTGAAGAAAAAAGAGACCCGGTAGATCGCTTCGCACTTCTCAAGAGGAACTAGTCCCATAGATACATCAGATACTCAGTTAAGTCTTTCACCAGTAAGTTAACATGTTAGAAGATGTACTTACACAATTTTTGCACTGTCTTCACAAAAGTCAAAGTGTAATGTAACAGGTTTGGTACAATACAGTCTGAATTTTTTCGCTCTGTAGGGAAGCTGCATAAAAGTTTCTACTGCAACTCGGATGCTTTAACAGTGAAACAGAAACAGTTCAATTATAAAGAAAATTACACATAACATTTCTCTAAAGTACACCAATATACCTAATGCACAACATAAAAACAAAACACAAAAACCAATTATTTCTGTTTCTAACATAGCCACTAACAGCAAGAAATACATGGAGACATTTGCCAAAGTTGACAAACACTGGTTCTTGGGCGGGGGAGAGGAGGGATCGCACTCTTTTTATGTATAAAGCACAGATATACATGTAGTACATACAAAGGTATTCAGTATAACTCATGTTAAGATTTCATGGCGTGGCCCGGCTCAGTGGATTGAGCATCTTCCCATGGAATAAGAGGTCGCTAGTTTGACCCCAGGTCAGGACACATTGCAGGCTCAATCCCCAGTAAGGGGCATGCCGGAAGCAGCCCGTCGATGTTTCTCTCATCAGTGTTTCTATCTCTCTCTCCCTCTCCCTTCCTCTCTCTGTAAAATCAACAAAAACATATACTTTTAAAAAATTTCATGGCATGGGAGTGGGGAGGGAGTAGAAAAATGTCTCGTGAGGCTCCTTACATTGAAAAATAATGATCAAACTTGGGAGCAAATTTTATTTCAGATTTTTAAGTATCAGCCCTGGCCAGTAGTTCAGTTGGTTGAGCTTCATCCTGATACACCACGGTTGCACGTTTGATCCCTGGTCAGGGCACAAAAAAGAGTGGACCAATGGTCCTAGCTGGTTTGGCTCAGTGGATAGAGCGTCAGCCTGCGGACTGAAGGGTCCTGGTTTTGATTCCGGTCAAGGGCACATGCCTGGGTTGCAGGTTTGATCCCCAGTAGGGGGCATGCAGGAGGCAGCCAATCAATGATTCTCTCTCATCACTGATGTTTCTATCTCCCTCTACTTCCCCCTTCCTCTCTGAAATCAATAAAAATATATCTTAAAAAGGAAAAAAAAAGTGGACCAATGAATGCATCAATAAGTGGAATGATAAATCAATGTCTGTCTGTGTATCTCTCTGTCTCTCCTTCCCTCTCTCAAATCAATAAATTTAAAAAATTTTTAAAGATTTTTAAGATATTTAAGTATCAATTTTAATACACAACCAGAATTACCTTAACGTTTCTATAAGTGAGAGTTTTCATAATTAGTGTTGGCCAGCTCTGCACAAAAGAGCTGAAAGGACTGAGATTTGCTAAGTTGCTCAACATTTTTTATTTCCCTTCTTCCAGGTAAACGACAGATTTGAACACACCGTTTCTACACACACAGGTTATGATGATGCCACACGGACAGGCTAGGCACCTTTTGTCTCAGTTCAGAAAACGGTGGCGGCATTAACTGCTCCTCAAGGCCTCCTTGTGCTCTATTTAATCATATGATTCTCTTGCCCAAAACAAACTAAACCTAAAATTCACAACACTAAAAGAAAAAATCCCCCAAAAGTTCAACAACAGGTGTGTGTGTGGTGTTTTTTTTAACAATTATAGCTATAAAGGTGCAAACCACAAGGTGGAAATGCATCCTTTTTCCTAAACATCTGGAAATTTCCTTCTGCCATGGCATTCGTAAGATAATCCAATCAGATAAGCCCCTATTGCGGCTGAAATCTATTTGGTGTTACTCTTTTGGAAGACGAGTCCTCATATTTATTTATTAAACTGACATCCTCTTACTCTGGGATGGGAAACCATGGAAAAATTGCCACAAACACTTACTGACAGTATTTTCTCATGAACTGTGACATGTGGCCCTAGAATCAGTGAGGGTTCTTTCTGACCAGGGGCACCTGGGAGATGCAGAGCACCTGCCCTTTCCAGGAAAGGAGGTGGCAGGAGGCTGGAGCTGCCTGCTGCGTCTTCATTCTGACCACTTGCTCTGACACTCACTGCCATGCAGCACTGAATGGAACCTGACGTCTTCAAGAAGGCTTCCCTTCTTGAAGCTAAAAAAAAAAAAACAAAAACAACCGCCCTGACCAGTTTGGCTCAGTGGATAGAGTGTCGGCCTTCAGACTGAAGAGTCCTGGGTTCGATTCCAGTCAGGGACCTGTACCTTGGTTGTAGGCACATCCCCAGTTGGGGGTGTGCAGGAGGCAGCTGATCGATGTTTCTCTCTCATTGATGTTTCTGGCTCTCTATCCCTCTCCCTTCCTCTCTATAAAAAATTAATAAAAAATATATTTTTAAAAAAACCTCCAGCTTACCACCTCTATCCCCTTACTTTGGATACTGGCACGCTCCTTTAAAACTGGCATTTGTCTCCTTAAACAGCATAAGGCAAAAAAAGTCATACGTACTTTTTCGATTTCACTGGAATGTACTTGGCAAAATCCACAAGGAAACACTCTGCCAGGTAATGATCTGCTGAACACACGATTGACTTAATGACAGCCCTGCACCAGCACTTGAGTTCCTGACAATAAACCACACAAACCTACAAAATGAAAACTTCAGTGTTAACATCTCTAGCCATATAATGGGAGCCTAAAGGTCCTCTCAAAATCACCTCAGCCTACATTTCACCTTCAGAAGAGGAAAGAGATTCAAGGAGGCTGGCCCTGCCTAAGCTGGACACTGCTTGTCAGTGAAAGAATCTCAGTCAAGAACACAGGACACTGAATTCTACTTCGCTCTTTTTTTTTCTACAACCCTTTTGACTGCTTAAAGGATAATTTAAAGAAAGGCTTCTTAAATCAAAGCTTCAGAAACGAAACCTCAACCCCAGGTCATCTTCCCCATTTTCCTCCCGTGGCTTTCACTGCCCTCTGACACTTGTTTACTACCTCACACACCTGTAAGTCAGCTCTGTGATGTGGAATTTTGTCTGTTTTGTTTATTGCCATCCTCCCAACACCTAGAACGGTGTTTGGCCTGTACTAAAGTCTTCAAAATCGACTTGAGTGACTTGTTGAGTGACTTGTTGAGTGGCACAGTTGCTTGGAGCATTATCCCATGCATCAAAAGGTTGTGGGTTCTATCCTTTAGTCAGAGGGTATAAGAGAGGCAACCAATTGACTTTTTTCTTTCTCTCTCTCTCCCTCCCTTCTTTCCTCTTTCCCACCATTGTGGGGCCTGCAGGAGGCAGCCAATCAATGATTCTCTCTCATCACTGATGTTTCTTTCTCCCTCACCTTTCCTCTCTGAAATCAATAAAAATTTAAAAAATAAAAATCAATTTTAAAAAATATCCTTGGGTGAGGATTAAAATAATAATAATACATTTTTTAAAATTTTTCTGTAGTCCCCTTTTAGGGAAACTTCCCTGCTGAATTGTCAGCCGTGGCATCCTGACTGTCCCACAAGACTGCCAGGCCACAAGCGACTCAACGGCAATCCACAGACAGGCAAACCAAATATAAAGTGGCCCAGTGGGGACAGCTGTGCCCAACAAGGAAGAAGTGGGTCAACTGAGAATCCTGCCCTCAGGAATTAAAGTTGGAAAACATAGTACAGCCATTCTGCAAAACTCAAATAATTCAAGACATATTCTGCCAAAGGATGGAGGTTACTTCTGTTCAATTCTTAAGTCAAAGTAACTTGTAGGAATGGTCTGAATAGGTACTAATTCACACAGGCAGTTAACTTTGAAGTTGTGGTATATTAGGGTTCCCACTAGTCAAAAATGGAGTAAGTTAGGCATCAAGAACAATGATGCTGAGACTGACGAGTGGATTTAGATGGTGACAGCCTGAGCTCTCCCTGCTGGTGGTGCCATCAGCTTTTCACGTCATGGTTGTACCATCCAGTGGTTACCACTGCCCCAATCAGTGCTTTCACTTCAGCTTGCAAATTGGTCGTTTTCATATTTTTTCTGCGTTTGCGAGCTGGAGTTCTTCTGCAGAGAACGTTCCCTCATCTGTTGGGATTGTTTGGCTACCCTGACATAATACAATTTATCCTGGAAAGTTAGAAACATTACTTGATTCTTTCCACCACCACTAGGAAGCAATCAGGCTATCCAAAACGTGGAGTGTTTCTTTTAAATGTGGAGTATTTTTTTTAAGTGGAATATTTTAAAAGGACAACTGACCTGGTTTCCATTTCTTAAAGCAATGGTATGGGGGGAAAATCAATGTTATGAATGATGATTTTTGAGAGGGAAAGGAATTAAAATTGTTTCTAATTTTTCTCAGTTTATAAATCTTTTCCTATCATGCTATTAGAAAAATTCAAACTTTTCTGAGAAATAACTGATCTGCAGACAGAACCAGACAATAGGATTGGGACTTGAGGCTACAAGAAAGCAAGGAAGGACAATGATTTAGGGTAAGAAACATAAAGGAGCACGAGATAACCAAAGTCATGGGCAAACTACAAGGGAGGCATTAACCCTAGACTGCAAACCCCATACCCTCTGCTGAGGTGCCGACACCTGTGATAAATCTAAAATAATCCTCAACCCCAAGAGGATGGCCCCAATGCCTGAATTTACATGACACTCCATTTCCTGTTGCCCCATATGACCCTATACAACTGCCATGTCCCATTAGCCTAAATCTTGTGCAACCAAAAGAACTTAACACAAGGCAATGATTACAAGCAACAGAATACTCCAAAAGCTTTTATCATCTTAGTTGCCAAAATATTCTATATTTTGAGTAGTATTTCAAGAGGTCATGCTTAAAGCACATTTAGATACATACCTGCCCTTCTTCCAACATTAATGGTTTTATTTCTATGTCTTGACGCGTGCTATTATAGAAGTCATTCATGGCGCTATTTAGTTTTTGGTAGTCAATTTCATGATCTAAAAAGGTACTATTTCCTTTTATAATAACCCAGAAGCAACCTGGATCTTCAATCTGTAAAATTTTAAGACAAAACAATGCATGATTTTAAAGTAGGACCACAAAATAATAAAACTTAGAATCACAATGACTATTTCTAATTTAAGTGGTCTAACAAATTCTTGATAAGCACCTGTCTTAAATGGTCAGGCCAAAGATAAAAGACCCTCAATATACATGCATATCAAATCATCATGTTGTACACCCTAAACTTACACAATGTTACAGTTAATTACCTTTCAATAAAACTAGAAAAAAAGATAAAAGAAACAAAAATAAAATCTAAAACATGCCACCAATAATATGTAATTCTTTACTATGTATTGTGACTCAAAAAGCAGAGATCAATGTCCTTGAGCTCCTGTATTTTGAAAATATCCATAGCCGAAACCGGTTTGGCTCAGTGGATAGAGCGTCAGCCTGCGGACTGAAAGGTCCCGGGTTCGATTCTGGTCAAGGGCATGTACCTGGGTTGCAGGCACATCCCCAGTAGATGTGCAGGAGGCAGCTGATCGATGTTTCTCATCGATGTTTCTAACTATCTCTCCCCTTCCTCTCTGTAAAAAATCAATAAAATATATTTTTTAAAAAAGAAAATATGCATAATAAAATATAAAAGCAAGGTTCAGACAATGTTTTTAGTATCCTATGTCTTTCATAAAAGAGAGGAAATACCCTGGTTGATGTGCTCACTGGTTGAGCATTGACCTATGAACCAGGAGGTTTCAGTTGATTCCTGGTCAGGGCGCATGCCTGGTTGTGGGCTTGATCTCCAGTAGGGGGCATGTAGGAAGCAGCTGATCAATGATTCTCATCATTGATGTTTGTTTCTCTTTCTCTCTCTCTCTCTCTCTCTCTCTCTCTTTCTCTCCCTTCCTCTCTAAAATCAATAAAAATACATTATTTTTTAAAAGAGAGGAAATATACATTCTGCTCAGGTAAAAAGAAATAAATGATGGAAGATAACAAAACCAAATACAAGTTATTACCTACAGAGGAAGCCAGAAGTGGGCTAGAAAGGACAGAGATGGAAGTCAGATTTCTCTGAATGTATCTTGTTATCTTAGAAACTAAGATTTTCATTGTTAAAGGTACACATATAAAATGAAAAGTTAAATTTGAATTGAAAATAGGAACTCATTTATGTACTTATCTCATGTATCCACTTCCTAATTCTTACTCCTGAAAGAGCCTAAAAGCAATGATATCCCAAGATTTGGCTTCTAAGGACCAGGTGGCAGGAGTACAGGTGTTGGCATTAGTATTCTTTCTACATTTACACACCCTCCCCAGTCCCGGTGCTGCAGAGCAGCTACAAACTCAAGCAGAAAGTCACAGTCTGTAGCTGGAGGAGCCAGGGGACAGAGGACGGACCTGCCAGAGCAGCTATAAATGAAGGAGGGAAATTCTGAAGAGCCACAGAGGGAGAGCCCTATCGTCTGCATCAGAAAACCCCCAACCCGTGGCAGACCCTGAATTGTGCAGGTAAGACCAAGGAGGCCAGAGAAAAGCAGCATGGACGGCTGACAGAAATACAGTTTTATAGCTGCTGCTCATGAGAACTGCAGAACTCTCAGCACATGGACTCGTCTCAACCGCTGCACTAAGAGGCCACCCAAACTCTACTGTGGCTTCCAGCCGCATAAGGCTGTGTCCCCACAATGACCAGTCCCCCTCTAAAATGCCTGCCAGGAGAATTTACTGTTTGTTCTGGCCAACACCTGACAAAGCCGTTGACCTCCCTTTACTAAAGGGGTTACAGTTGTGAACCCTTCCCATCCCTTTGGGATGTGTGTAACCCCAGAACAAGCTCAAACTGGCCTTGTTCTGTTTCTAATTAGATGCTGAGTTGTTTTTCAGGGATAACCTAAGTCAGTGGTTCTCAACCTTGGTTGCACATTAGAATCACCTAGGAATCTTTTTAAAATCCTGATTTCTGGGCCTCGGAAATTCTGTTTATGTACTTATCTTATGTATCCATTCTGTTTCTTTGTTACTAATGTTGTGGCCCCATCCCATAACAAAGAAACAGAATTTCCGGAGGATGAGGCCCAGAAATTAGGATTTTAAAAAGATTCCCAGGTGATTCTAATGTGCAGCCAAGGTTGAGAACCACTGACCTAAGTCATGTAACCAAAGCAAGCTCACAGGAGAGAATTTTGACCTTCTACAGCACCCAGAACCGCCCTGGAGCGTGTTCTCAGTGGTTAGAGCATTGGGCCATGCACCAAAGGGTCGCAGGTTCGATTCCTGGTCAAGGGCACATACCTGGGTTGCTGATTCAATACCTGGCCCCAGACAGCGCATATGCAGGAAGCAACCAAACTATGCGTTTCTCTCACGTCAATGCTTCTCTCCCCCCACCACACTCTCTCTAAAAATCAATGGAAAAAAACATCCTCAGTAAGGATAAACCCAAATAAGTAAGTGAATAAATAAATAAATAGCAGGGAGAATCAAAGCCCCCAAGGACCCAAGGAGCTGGGACTTGAATGGAACTGGATCACCAGAATCCTTTATTTATTTCTGTTAATCCTCACCTGAGGATATTTTTCCCACTGATTTTTAGACAGTGGAAGGGATGGAGGGAGGCAAGAGACACACATTAATTGGTTGCCTCCTGCACATGCCCCAACCAGGGCCAGGGATCGAGCCTGTAACCCAGGTACATGCCTTTGACCGGGAATTGAACCCACAACCCTTCAGTGTACTTGCTGCACTCTATCCACTGAGAACACCGGCCAGGGCTCCTTCCTTTTTAGAACAGAATAATATTCCATTGAATGTATCTTCCAAATTTTGCTTGTCCATTCATCTACTGATGGACACTTGGGGAAAAATAGTTCATCCGTATAAAAGCTAAATTAATCTGGAAAACAACAACTGGTACTTACACCACACTTGGGGAAATGAATACTATACTGTCTAGAACAGCCGTGGGCAAACTACGGCCCGCGGGCCGGATCCAGCCCGTTTGAAATGAATAAAACTATTGAAAAAAAAGACTGTACCCTCTTATGTAATGATGTTGACTTTGAATTTATATTAGTTCACACAAACACTCCACCCATGCTTTTGCTCCGGCCCTCCGGTCCAGTTTAAGAACCCATTGTGGCCCTCGAGTCAAAAAGTTTGCCCACCCCTGGTCTAGAAAGTCTGCTCAGTGTGAGCATAGTAAGAGCAGGAAATTGGGAGTCAGAGAAGATGTGATGATGGAAGGAGGGATAGGAGTGAGAGAGAAATTTAAAGATGCTATACTGCTGGCTTTAAAGACGGAGGAAGTAGCCACAAACCAGGAAATGTAGTCGGCATCTAGAATCAGGAAAAGACAAGGAAACAGATTTTCCCCTAGAACCCCGAATAGGGAATGCAGGCCTGTCAGTACCTTCATTTTATCCCAGCGAAACCCAGATCATATTTCTGGCCTCTAGAACTGTAAGATAATAAATGTGTGTTTTTAAAAAAATAATAAAAATTTTTAAAAAAGAGCAGGAAGTTGGGGGCAGACCAAAGCTGAGGAGGTAGATAAAAAGGTTCCTGAATCCAATTGAAAGAGAGAGAGGTTCCCAAGTTCCAGGCAGTTTAAGTCTAGCTCCTCCTGCCAGAGTTCTAGCCTGATGGATGAGCATGTGGCAGGATCTGTACCCCTGGGAGAGTCCTATCTTTACGTGTGTGTTGGTTGGTTTCAGAGAGAGGAAGGGAGCGGGAAAGAGAGTTAGAAACACAGATGAGAGAGAATCACTGACTGGCTGCCTCCTGCACACGAACAACCCGGGCATGTTCCCTGACCGCAATCCCAGTGACCTCCTGATGCTCAAACACTGAGCCGTATGGGCCAGGCAAGCCCTGTCTTTCTAAGGAGATATTATACTAATCTATTTAGGGCAGAAGGGAGAGGAGTCTGCCAGATAGATCGGAAACCCCTAAAAGTCTCAGAGCAAATCCTCTGTCAGAATCAGGTATTTCAAATGTTTATGAATCTCAATTCATATAAAATAACGTGACACAAAATAGGAAGGTAAAGTTTGATTTTTTTAAAAAATCCCATCATTTGCTATGGCCCTCTCTTCTGCCCAATGAAATATGATTTTAAAAAAACAACAACATAATTTATATTTCCTTTTTCCCCAGGAACCAAAACCCACCCCTTTGCTCTGGTTTATAAACTCCTTCCTCCAAGTAACATGGTGAACACACGCCTTCCCAAGTCTCTTGCATCGCCAAGGTACACTCACCTGATTCAAAGACTTTGAGAAACTGCAGCTGCTGGCCCCACTGAGCCCCGCCGCGACACCCACCCCCGCACCCCGCATCCCAGCTCCAAGGATCCAGGCCCTGAGGCGCGCGAGCAGCCGGGAGTCACCACGAATGGAGACCAAACGCATGTATGAGGGGTTGGGAGGGAAGGGAGTTACCGGTCACCCCCGCCCCTGTCCAAAGGAGATAGTGACCCCCTGGAGAGGACCCGTGTCGGGAGAACAGGTCAGGGTCCCCGTATCCACCGACCTGGGCCTGCAGGAGCCCTCAACCAGCGCGGACCCGGGCGGGGTGCGTGGGAGACCAGTCCGGCCCACCCCCTAAGCTTCTGGATTAGTAAATACTGGCCACGCGCAATCATCTGAATTTCGGAAAAACAGCGAATAACTTTTTATGCTATGTCCTACACAGTGCATGGGGCTCCGCTGCGCTCAAATGTCGGTGGTTCTACTTACAGAATCCAGGACCCGCATGCGTATAAGCATAACCAATGGACACAAGACACTGGGGGTAGAGGAGGCC